ATAGCTTTCATTGTTTACAAAGGACGTTATCATATCAAACACAGAATGCTACTCGTTCGCTCTCTGCAACCGTACGACCGTCTTCCAGACGGCGAAGAATTTGTGTATGACGCATTCGTCGCTCACCACGTGGACAATAGAGTCTGGGTTATAAACCATCTACTACCCTTCCTCGAGAAACAGAGGAAGCTGCGTCTTTGCCTCCACGAGAGGGATTTCCTTCCAGGTAATTTCATTGCCGACAACATTGTTAACAATATGAAGGTGAGCCGAAAAGTGATATTGGTTTTCTCTGAAGACTTTGCGGACAGTGAGTGGTGCCTATTCGAGGCAACGACCGCCTACAACAGGATACTAGCGGAGGGAGCATCCTCTGTTGTTATCATAATGCTGGAGGACATTAGACACCGACCCGTCGATAATACCATTCGGAACCTTCTCCACGCCGTCGCCTATATAGAGTGGGGAAGCGAGAGGAGTGATCGCCCAGTATTCTTTCGGAAACTTCTCGATGCCCTCCAGTGATGGACTCGTATTTCTTGCACACCAGTTGGGCTTTCAGCTCATAATAATGGACTTGAACATTTAAGAGTGGGTTATACTTTTCGGAATTTGTATTTTATATTACGAAGTTCACTGAATAGAATGTCAGCTTGGATGCAGAGAGTCATATTGTTTCATCCTTTTACTAATACTGCAAAACTAGTTCTGGCCAAATTCATCATTATGTATGCAAGAAACTAAAATCAAAGTCCTATGTGTACCTGTAACTACCAAACACTTCCTCCTCTAATGTCTAAACTACCAACAATTAAGAATACACTGTTTTCGACGCCTTACTCTCGACTATATTCATTTTTGTTACCATACTACTATATGGTAGTCCTGACATGCCAATTCAATATAATGAGTATATTTTGACTGCGTCCAACAGTATATCTGTTATTCAAGAATATTTTGAAACTTTGTGTTCTACTGTTATTGTATGCTTTAATGTTATATTCAGCGTAGAGCCTTTTTGAAAATGTATTCAACTTGTACAGTTCCATGGTGTTACCATATTATATCCCAATAAGTCTTCCCTTCATAAATAAACTTTTGGTTTTATTTGCTACTTTTAGCAAACTCTTTTATTCAAACTCCTCTGCTCCCCTCGCCTTTATTTCTTTAATTAATAATGTATCAACAGTCATTGTAGTCCTATCGCTAAATGTACTGAATGAATGTTAGAAGACGGACGTATACATAAGTAGCATGTGTTTGTTTTCGAATCCTTGTATTATGTATATTATGTGCATTTATCTAATATATTAACAATACAATTTAATTTCAACTTAATTACGGATCCTAACAATTATCAAAAGGTTGATCGGTTTTGATAGCCTATCAGTCTTACCAGGTGCTTTTTGGAAATGTGGAAATATTATTTATATTATGGTTATTTGCAAAACCGACAAACATAGTCAAGACTTTTTTTAAATGTTTATTTGCTGCTTGATTCCGATCGCAACGTGAGCTTAATTACTGTCAATAAACTTTAAACATTACATCCCCTTGTTACAAAGAATCAGTTTTTTTAACTTTATCTTATTTGCACGTATTTTTATTTTTTTTTGCATTTTTTTCATTATGTTTATGTACTTAAGGACAGGAAACTTTTTTTCATATTTCGAAAATATTAGAACGGGAATCATTGGGTTGTCCCCGACAAAATGTGATATAACCAGGTTCTAGGTAGTGACCAGATTTCCAATTAATTAACAGATGTCTGGTGTCTCTATTTGAGATTTATTCAGCTTTTCTTTCAACAGTATTGTTGGTATGTACATATACCTATATACATACATTAAGTATGAAATATTAACAAATAAATAAAAATCACTTTTTTATAAATCTGATGTTTTTTATTGTAATGTATTTAATATTTGTGATGTATGTCTTCTATTATCTTTTTTAGGTATATTTACATTTGTTTATATTTATCTGTCTGTAAAATATTGTTTTCGCCCGTTATCACTTTTACCTCTCTATAGTACGTGTTGCTCTCGTTTGGGGTATACCCTTATTTATCAATTACGGACTTGCTGAGGTGAATTTGTTGTTATTTGATCCTGAAAAAGTGATATTAACCGAGACGAAGTCGAGGTCCAATATAACTTTTCCGGCCCGTTAAACCACATATTTAACTATATCCGTAATTGATAAATAGGGATGTTTTAATAGGTGCTTAATCATGTTTTAAGTATAATAGAACTATGCAAATTCTACGAAAGAAAGTGCAGCATTTGGCAGAAAGCATTGAGACATTAAAATAAAAGTGACGTTATGAATTGAATAAGGACCTGCTATTTCTTAAACTAGTAACATCAAATCAATATCAGAAAATAACCGACCTCTACGTAATCATGATCCAGCTTTCTCAGTCTGGCGGTGGCCCCCTAAGCACTCGTCCTTGTATGACCTGGGCTGTTGCAAGGACGTTAAACCCAAAACAAACAAACAAACCGATAGCACTGATCTGCTAGCAAGATAGTCACTTTTCTCATACTGTATCTCTTTCTACATTTCCCGTTAGTGTTGCTAGGAGTTCATTCTAGACCAGGGACGCTGTAGGGAGACACTTGAATACATAGGTAAACATCATTGATGTAGCTACTCAACCATTGTTAGGTCATAGGGTGGGCATGGTTTTGTAAAATATTTATATTTGTGTGTGATATATACACATCTGCGGGAGCGATAAACACGTATGACCTGTATTAAATATAATAAGACGATTGTTTTGTTTTCTTATACGCAACACTTATATATATATATATGACTGAACCTCGGATCAAACTCAACCGAACCTAGCTTAAACTCATAGTATAATCTTACCGTAGTGACCTATTACAGAAATATTTAAGAGCGACATTTTTACCCAGTACTTATCCCCGTCCGATTGCAATGTGAAATGTTAGACAGTTCTACTGTTTTCCCCCTACATACAGAAACTTCCCCTTCATTGCGTTTTCAATATAACTAAAGCGCGAGTGGGCCAGAGTACTATCGTTGACACAGTAATTACATTGGTAGGAGTGCCTCTGAATTCATTTTGATCTAGTGTAGAACCTGTACATCATGTTTAAAATGTACACAGTCACGATTAAGATTTTATGTACACTTATACAGCATTTCATCAATATACAGTGGATATTCGTTATTTGATTACTAAGTGTGGGGTATTTGTCGGGGTTGTCTTCCCTGCGTAAGGAAACGGTTGCATGAACCAGGAAGTGTAATTTGACCAAAAATTAAATAACGAGGTTTTACCTTGCGATATTCATTTGTGTATACGTGACAGATAGGCGAATACCCGGTGAACACGTCTGTGAGTATTGTAACAGAATTTGATGATTCATGTATTTTGTACTTCATAGACTGTGTGATATTGTTTAAATCGCTGATACCATTTCTGTTACATGTTTAATGGAAAGGTTATGGATACTAAGGTATGTAGGTGGATTATAGGTTGAGATTAGTAGGGAAGTGATAGGTATGTGTGACCCACATATATGTAGGTGTCAGAGGTTTGGGATTTTGTACGTAGTAAGAGAAGAGAGAATTCTCATTTCTGTTACATGTTTAATGGAGGGGTTATGAATACTAGGGTATGTAGGTGGATTAAAAGTTGAGATAAGTAGGGAAGTGATAGGTATGTGTGACCCACATATATATAGGTGTTAGAGGTTTGGGATTTTGTACGTAGTAAGAGAAGAGAGAATT